AAAATCCTTTTTAGGTAATTCAAACTTCTGTGTCATCTCACTGTTGGCATCTATTATCTATTAGTTCAAGGTTTGGTTTTCTTTGTATTCTGGACATTTTGGATATTAGTTTTAAGATTTCTCTAACTTACTGAATCTTCCTTTTCAGTAAGCAGTTAAAATGTTTACGTTTAATACACTGGTTCTGTCCTTCTTGTGTGGCTGTGACTCTAAGATAATTTAGTTTCCAGACCCTATGCAGTGTTATTTTGGTCTGTTTCCTTTATATCCTGCCAAAGGCTCATCTAGACACCAGGCAATATTCCACACTGCGTTTCAGTTATCAAATCTTTTGCTGTGTTAATTCTGGTCAGTTTCTCATGTGGGTCACCAGAGAATATGCCCAAAATTTCATTTGTGAAATCCTTTTCTCCAGCTCCCTTCTCTCCAAAATCCTACCACCACTCTCTAGTTAGGAGGAGGAAGAGCATCACCTGCCACCACTGGACACTCTACATTGGGACAAGAAGTTCTTCCTTGGCCTCTTTATCACCCTGCTGGGGGAACTGAAACACTGCTTCACTGATGCTGGTGTGAGGGTGGAAGTTCAGGCTCCTCACTTACCCTCACTGACAATGTCCCAGAGTGGGGAGCAAAATGATGCCTCACGCTATCTCAGTGCCACCAAGTAGAAGGTCAGACTACAGATTCTCCATTCACCACCACCCATTCCCCCCACCCCGACCAACACACACAATGGCATCACCTCTGCTCCAAGTGAAAAACCACCTTGGTAGTGTCAGGCAGAAGAAGACATTCAAATATCCTTCTTGGCCTCTACTGACACCACCCCAACAGGAGAAGCAGCTTGCTAACCCCAATGTAGAGGGTGGAAAACCAGGCTCCACACTTGGTGTCTGCTGGTACCACACCAGCAGGGGAAACAGAGAATAGTATCCTACCATTGGGCACAGGGTAGAAATTCCAGCTCTCTGTTCAAGGCTCACTGATGCCACCTTGGTCAAGGTAGCAGAATACTGCATCACATCGTATCATTGCCAGAGACAGGGGGTAGAAGTTCGGTCTACCCACTCGGCCTCTGCTGACACCACTCTGGTGGAGGAATAAGAGTGCAGCCTGCTACCACAAAGTGGGAGGTGGAAATCCAAGTTTCCCTTCAATTTCCACTGGCACTAAGGGTGGGGTGGGAGATTTCCATCGTCTTTGGCTAAAGTAGGACAGATATTGTCAAAAAGGGTTTAGTTCTTTTAGGCTGCCCTTTTCCTAGCAATTTCTCTAGAAAGAATAGGTCTTTTTTAGGGCTTTTTTCTATCTGTACCTGTTGGCATTTCCTGGATGTGGGCCTCTCGAATGCCCACTCTGGGATATACAAAGGGCAAAAAGAATGTCCAAGGAACTCACTATCATGTTATTCTTCAAGTTCCAAGGTCACTAGCCAGTCTCCTTTCTTCTTCCCACCTTTTAGAGTCTTCTTATATTTGCTTTTAGTATTATGTCCAAGGTTTTTAGTTGTCCTTAGCAGGAGTAATATTAAGAAATGAGTCTACTTTATCTTGTCCAGCATCAAAAGTTTAAGAAGGTCATGTTTTTAAATGGAACAATTTATAGGATACAGGTGAACAACAGCTGACATAATAAAATAGGGCATCAAGCCATTTGTATGGTAATAGAGGTATAAAGGGATCAGATTCAACAGTCCAAATCTGTCTGGCTAGATGGGAGTTTTTCCACAAGGTAAGGGGTTCTGGGAAGGACTGATTCATTCAAATCTAAGGTACAAACATATACAATAGAATTGGTGCCCTTCCCCCTAAAAAATCAAGTCAGAAAAACATTCACTCAAATGATAGGATACGGCACAATATTTGACAGTATTGCTTTTATAAATAGCAAAAGCACCATCCTGTTCTTGCAAGCCACCACACAACTTGAGTTTAAAGACTGATAAACAAAAAGCATAATGCCATCTGCAGCCAAGAGCTTGAGACATGTCAGAAACTCCCCAACCTACTTCAAGTCAATTTATTTGCCAGTCCCAAGGGCACTGACGATGAGCTGAGTCAATCCCAACAGGCTCCAAATGAAAGCAGGAGAAAAACCCCAGGCTCTAGCACCTCAGTGAAGAAGCCAACAACCTACACTCCAAGGAAGTAAGGAGTGTGTCAGCCTTATCTTGCAAACAGCAGTTGACTTATACCAGCTTGAATAAGGATCCTGCATTTGGGTACTGATACTGGGATCTCCTCTTGCAATGGGAAAGGATTCTTTTTAATTGCAAAAAAAATCAACCGAAAACTTAATCTCTTGCTTTTACATTTAAAAAATATTTTATTTTTTTATTTTAATCTTAATTTTGGGTTTTTTTTTATTTTTTCAAATTTTTATTTAAATTCTAGTTAGCTAACATACAGTGCAATATTGGTTTCAAGAGCAGAATTCAGGGATTCATCACTTACATAAAACACCCAATGCTCATCACAACAAGTGATGAGCATCACCCATCTATAGCCCATCTCCCACCCACCTCCCTCCAGCAACCCTCAGTTTGTTCTCTATCATTAAGAGTCTCCTATGGTTTGTTTCCTTCTTTCTTTTTTTTCCCCTTCCCATATGTTTATCTGTTTTGTTTCTTAAATCCCACATATGAGTGAAATCATATGGTATTTGTCCTTCTCTGCCTTAGCATAATACAGTCTAGCTCCAGCCACGTCACTGCAAGTAGCAAGCTTTCATTCCTTTTGATGGCTGAGTAATGTTCCACTGTGTAGGTATATCACATATTCTTTATCCATTCATCAGTTGATGGACATTTGGCTTTTGCTGATAATGCTGCTATAAACATCGGGGTGCATATATCCCTTTGAATCAGTTTTTTGTATCCTTTGGGTAAATACCTAGTAGTGCAATTCCTAAATCATAAGGTAGTTCTATTTTTAACTTTTTGAGAAACCTCCATACTGTTTTTCAGAATGGCTGCACCAGTTTGCATTTCCACCAACAGTGTAAGAGGGTTCCCCTTTCTCCACATCCTCACCAACACTTGTTTCCCGAGTTAATTTTAGCCCTTCTGACAGGTGTGAGGTTAAAAAACATTTTCTTAATACTCATACTTTTCTATACAAACTTTACTATGGGAAAGAAGACCATTAAAAGAGAACAAAGAGAAGAGATGGGGTAAAGTGGGTCTTCCACCCACAGAGAAGACATGGATCAGGGGCTGACTGCTATGTTTCCATCAGGCCCACATGGAGCCCATGGTGAGGGGATGATGAGTGAGAATGAGCCCAATCCCTGGCCACAGGAACATCAATCTCTGCTCTAAGCACCTAAGCACACACCTCTCTCCTCTGCTCACCTCCGCTTCACCAGGTAAGAGGATTTGATTTTCCTCACCCTCCTATCCTGTGGTAGAATGAAATTTTATCTATCACCTTCCTACAACCCCTGCTGCTACCACTGCCATCCTGCTACTCATCTTCTCATACCATATACACTCTCCATACTGGGAGATGTGACTTCACTAAGATGAGGAAAGACATGGAGAACATGGTCGGCATATTAACACATCCTAATGAGGTCCTCTCCGACACCAAAAAAAAAAAAAAAAAGCTCATTTGTCTCAGAAACGCTTAGCTCTAAAGGATCTGAGGGACCCAAGGCTTCTTCCACTTAACATACAAGCTGTCAAGAACCTGATGCTGCCCCTCCAAGATATTGCCAGGATTCTGGGGCACTGGCAGAGAAACAAAGCAAAAGAGGACTGTGAGGGGAATAAGAGGAAGGGAGAACTTAGAAAGGTCTCTAAAGTAGCCATCAGAGGAGCTGCTTTCAAGGATGGGACTCAAATGGAAGTGTAAAAAAATGATAAGGGAGCGGAACTTGGGTGGCTCAGTCTGTTAATCGTCTGCCTTCAGCTCAGGTCATGATCCTAGGGTCCGGGGCTCAAGCCCCACATCAGGCTCTCTGCTCAGCAGAAAGTCTGCTTCTCCCTCTTCCTCTGCTGCTCCCCCTGCTTGTGCTCACGCTCTCGCTCTCTCTCTCTCGTCCAACAAATATATATATATATATATATATTTTTTTTTTTTTTAAATGATGTTGGAATTCTCTATCACATGAGTTCGTGCTCCATCTCAAGTTTAAGATTTCTTTCTGGTAGAAGTCTGTAACCACAAGCATTCCCAGACATGAGGGGCATAGCAAGGGGCTGCAATTCTGCCTCTTTCTCCTTCTCATTCCCTTAGTCTGTACACAAATTTAGAACTGGAGGAAACCTCAGCCATCCTCTTGTTCCACCCCTGCACTGTACATTTAAGGAACGTGAGCCCTGGAACAGGGAATACACTTGCTACATGTTCAAAAGACATGGACAAGGATAAAGGCTTCCTTCCCAGCCCAGCTCCTCTGTTCCTTAAGTTTGTGTCCAATCCAAGTGTAAGTGAGGAGATCTGTGTTTTAATCTCTATTCACCTCACTCTTGTCTGTGATAATGAAGAGTATGATTATCTCTGCTTTGTGCTTCATCTTCCCCAAACATATAACGCAAAGGTGGATCCTAAACAATGAAATGCTCCCAGCACTGGTGTGTGTGTATATATA